ATGATCAGATTTGCTAGCACAGGAGAATTAGAAAATGGCCTGTCTCATGCTGATGCCCAAGGTAGTTGTTTGCCTTAGCTCACACACTCTCTAAACTGGCCTGACCCAAATATTCCTCTTTTTTTCTTTCCAGGTCTCACTGAGAAGACAGACTTCACAGTATTATTCACTGGGTTCACTAGGAGGTTAAAAACATGAAGAGTTATCTTTAAGTATAGAAAGAGCAAAGTTTATTGTGTAAACATTTACAGTGTGAGCTGACCTTCTTCTGACTTCAACTACTAAAGAGACTGGGGGAAATGCTATGGGGCAGGAGTCCAGGAGACTGAACGATGCAGGAAGAAAAAGAGTGGGCCATAGTTGAAGAGGGTAGAGGAGAGGGAGAAATGAACAGCACTTCCATGGCTCCGAAAAAGATTTTACTGCTTAGGAAAGCGACGGCAGTTCTCCAGGGTAAGCAGGGGACCAGAGCCAGTGACCCAGAAGGTCCTTCCCGTGTCTTTAATGAAGTCAATCTATCAGAAATCCAGAAAAGAGGTGCAGTCCTGGAGGGTACAGAGATGGAGGGCATCTCGAGGCGTGAGGTAGCACTTGCACCACAGCACCCTGATGGATGCAGCCTGTAACTCTGCCATCAGCTCTGTAATCTGCTGAGAGCAGCATCACCTTAAATCATCTCCTCCTTGCCTGTGTCCAGAGCTGGGATTAGAGAGGAAGTAACATGTGAAAGACTCCCAGTTCTAGGATATGAATTCTACTGCAATTAGATTGAAAAATGGGGTTCCATTGCCTAAACTGAACATAGGTGCCCAAGGACATAGATGCCCAAGGGTAATCTACTTCTAAATCAGAAGAATGAGCTGGAGCTGGCTACAAGACATGTGACTTCTGGAAGGCTTTGAAAGCTTATAGAGTGACATATTTTATATATATATTTTATATACACATCTTGTATACTAATATAGGAAATACAGCCTGCAATATATTAAATAATGTATCATATTTTTAGAATTCGGAACATCAAGGAACTGACTGAGCTGCCTACGCATGGTATATAACACCATGCACACTTACCAGAGATGTCTTAATACATCTGGCTATCTAAGACACCCAGATGGGACTAATAAACTTGATACACGAGCTGAAAGAACACTAGGACAGATGTATGGAGTAGCAGCTGTGAAGCAGGTAGAATACCTTAGGATAACTCAAATTACACTAGATACCTGTGGATTAGCAACTGACTTGAGACATCCACTTCTTTGGAGATCTTCAAAACCCGCTTGGACGCAGCCCTGCGCCACATGCTCTAAGTGACCTGCGTGAGCAGGGGGTTTGGACTAGATGACCTCTGGAGGTCTCTTTCAACCTGAAGCATTCTATGATTCTATAATTTTTTAATGCAGAATTTCAAGTATTTTGAATAACTTTAACAGTGACATTTTAAAATTAAAAAAAAAAAATTTATTTGGGCAGATGGATTCCAGAAACTCTTACACTCCTCCTAAGTTCCTAAAATCCTAGTTCACTGTGTCTATATATTTCATGCAGGATATTGTTCCTTAGTGGCTGAGAAAAAAAACATGAGAATCAGAAAAGAAAAACATTCATCATGAAACAGGTGCAAATCTTCAAATAAGCTTTGCTATACAGCTCTGTCAACATGAAATTCAGGAGTATGGATTGACAGAGGCAGTAGCTAGTTTGGATTTTTTAAAAAATTAATACCTCCAGGTTTCTTTTTTTCCCCCCCCTGTACTCTGGGAAATAAAGCAGAGAAAAAAAAGACTGTGCAGACAGTATCAGAAGGATCTGTGTCAAGGTCTCAAGAATTCAAGTGGAATTACAAGGAGTAGATTCTAACCGAAGGAAAAAAAAAGGGGGGGGGGGGGGGGGAAGGGCAAAGACAACCTAGTGCTCTTTTGAACCATGACAAGATAGATGAACTTACAGCTAGGATATTTGAGAGTGAGACTGACGGCTTTCCAGGGCAGCTGCTTGACTGTAAATTCAGACCGCCATGTCAGAACTCGACATGAGGTTTCAAGTACAGAATGACTGAATTATCTACGAAAAAGGTCTTAGTAAGCCTTGAAGCAGGAAGCCCAAATAATTACAGTACTAAGGTATCCAGTACCTTTTAAAGGGTATGAAAGGCTTGTGAGACTCTACGCTTTTCAGCTGTGGAGGGATTCCCCTCTTCTTTAATAAGGCAATTAAAGCATTACATACTCACAGTGGAAGAAGGACTCGTACAGGCATTGAACAGTATATATGTCAATACATGAGGCCACTAAAGAAACCATTTCTTAAGAAAATACCCCTTCCCCTCTCTTTTCTAATCAAAGCTGAGAAATGACTGTCTCCTACTACTAGCCCACATACATCTAGTCTAAGTAAATTCTTTAAGAGCCCAGCAAAAAAGATGTGAAAACTTGCTACAAATCAGGCCCTAAAAATCTGACAGCAAATCCCATGCTGAAATCCTATATGCAGAGTGGAGCAGATTTCTAGAGAACAACTGGAATTCTGCCAAGAATGTTTAAGAGCTTCAATGTCTTGGGATAATATATAAAAACAGCTTAATGATTCAGCTAACCAATGCACTAAAACAAGCTTCCCAAGGGGGAAATCAGCACTTTGCATGTATTTTGGGTGCTCCCTTTAATTCTGATGTTTCTTTTACCTTCCTCTATCCTATTTCTTGTTGCTATATGTTTTGAACTAGGAAGGTAGGTTTTATAAGCTACTTTTCCTTCTCACCCAGCCAACAGGGAAGGGTCATAAGTAGGGCAGCCAGTTCCCTCTTCTCTGAAAGCTTTATGGCTGTTCTTCTTTAGATACACCTCCTATTTAAGCCCCAACACAGTATGAGCCCTATAACAAATTTATAATCTCTGTCCTGCACACTATCTAGTCCAGACATATAACAGTCATCTTAATTATAACTCAAACGTAGAAAGCATACCAACATCATCTTTCACAATTAAAACAAGGCAAAGCATCTATTGCAGTGTCTTATTAAATGATATTTAATCTCCAGCATGCAAGAGACCATTACAGCACCACTTGAAAAAGCGTATATGCATCATCTATTCTGGAATAGAGATTCCCCCTCCACTTTGAAGAAGCCTGTCTGACCTCCATGAATAATAAACTCTTTAAGAACTTCAAGAAGAATCCTCAAGGAGATCAATCAAGTGAGACCAAAGGGAATGACAAGAATACAAGATTAAAGAAGAGTCTCTAATATATTCTTGACAAAGTTGATTTCAGCACCTAGAAGTTTAATAGATTTAACTGACAATGGATAAAGCTAAGTCACACTTTATGGCTTGTATGATCCTTGTTTGAAGTGTTTTAGATATGTGTGAGCATTCCGTAGCCATCTGTACTTTCAATAGGATATGGTACTAGGCCATAATTTAGGAAAACACTATTAGAACTTTCTCACGTCTCAGAGTTTTCTAAGTGAATATCATGTTTTATTTAACAAATGGAGAAGTTCTAAAAACAAGGAAGCATCATTTATTGGCTATATTTACATTAGCAAGCAATTTGACTGAATATGAGCAGGCAGCAAATAAAAACAATCAATGCTGATGCCCCTGTGATGTAGGGGGCTGACATGTTTTATTTTGGACTCAATTTAGTCTGAGTCCATGAACTAAATGAGCCTTCCCCACATACAATTCAGCTTTGTCAAGAGGACCAGTCCTTGGTTTAAGACCACTTGCAGCTGTAGTGCATTTGATAAGCAGTTGCATCAGAGTTTTCAGTTTTTCTTCTTAAAACGTTAGGTCCAATTGTAGAAGTTATAAGAATTCAAAAGAGCCAAATGAGAACAAGAGATATCCTAACCCTTTTTAGGTGATACAAAATAAAATAAAAATCAAAGCTTCATTCTTCAATTGTTAAATTTTGGGACATTTATTTCACAACATTTACTTCCACGTCAACAGCGAAAAAGAGACAAAAACAGTGTTAAAGATGATATTGCATCCTCAGGACTGATATCTTCCATTTTTAAAGCACCTCTAGCATAAGAGGTGAAAGGCTGAATAACAGGCCAAGAATTGCTATCCAGAAATAACATACAACAAGAAGTCTTTAGTGACTGATTGACCCAAAATAAATCAAAATAAATCTCGATCAAAGATGCTTCTAAATACCTCTAGAAGAGGTCACAGCTTAGAAGTGGTCACAATGCTAAAAACATAAAACATCTTCAGCTATCACTAAGGAACTTCTTTATGTTGGAAAAAATGTTTTGTGCCCCCAGAGATACTGGTATTTCTGAGGTAATTTAGCTGAGGAACAAAAAGCAATGAAATAATCCAAATCTCTGAAGTATAGCTCAGCAGTCACAAATCCCATGAGTTTCTTAGTGTTCCAATACAATGAGGGAATGCACGCAAGGAGATTTAAAATAATGATACAATCCATACACACAGATTAATCTTGTAAACAGCAATAAGTGTATAGCAATAAGTACTAATGAATGGACTTTAACATCACACCAGACAAAAAGAAAATGTAGTCATGACTCAAAGTTCCTAGAAATCACATTTCTGAATGATGCTTACAGACCCAATAAATGTAAACAAACCATTCCATCAGCCCTCTGCTGGGCTTAGCATAAAATAAGTTCAAAAATGAGGATGTGATTTCAGCAGGATACATGAAAACTAAATTTATCTATGAAGATTATGTTTTCATAGAAGTAAATAAGAACAGACTATATACCAAAAGAAAGAAATTCAGCATTAGAAAACAAAGGATTCAGTTATGCCATCATTACCATCCAGAATGCATTTTGACAAAAAAGACCCACCTTCTGTCAGCAGAGACACAAACGTCAAACTGATCATGAATATGAGGATATTTTGTCACTTAAATTTCTGCTTTGTAAATGGAATGGCTAGTTTTAATAACATCTTTCCTCATCTGAGAAGAACAATTTTTACCCCAGCAAAGTACCTGGAGAAACACAAACTTACCATTCTTTAAGCACACAAATAACCGCACCAGGAAAAAATGGACTTTAAATGGAGCAGAAATTAAAACACTTCACCAAATAAAGATCGAAGTTTGCAGACCCAAACTTCCAAAATGGCAGCAAATGAATCTGAACTATGAACAACAGCTTTCTGTTATTGGTAACATAAAGTGTCAGGTGTTATTCATACAATTTAGTACACAAGGCCTGCATTTCATATGCCCCACAGCAAACAAGTGACTGCTTTACGAGAAAAAGAAGGCAATCAGACTGATTCTTTCCTCCTTTACACCTGGGTAAGTAATAGAAACCAAAGGAGTTTCACTGCCACCTGCAATCATTAACACCAGAACAGAAGTACCTTATTACAAGAATATAACTTACAGGTGAACTTTGAAGTGGACAAAAGTTCTAAACCCCAATCTCATTTTACAAAAAATAAGTCACTCTACAGCAGTATGTAGTGCTTAAATTTCACTGTTTCATATATTCCTCTAAATACCTTAATTTTTTCTATTGTTAAGTCAAACAGGGAAAAAAAAAGATTGTAAGCAAGAAAAAAGTCCTTTCTTAAAACTCTCCATACACAGGATTCCCACAGAAAACAGCAATTCCTCATATGGGTGTTTGACATGAATACATCTTTAACTCTAGTAGAAATTCTTGAAAGGCTAGTGAGAAACAGACTGTTCTACTATGCCAGTAATGTACGAGCAATATAGGAAGGACAAGTTTATTCTTGTCCTTATTCTTGCCCCCTTATTCTACTGAAATAATCATATTAATAATCAAGCAATGAAAGACTTCTTTCACATCCTGGTGAAAAGTATAATTAACCATGATAGATTATGATGAGTAACACACTGTTTCTGCAAGCACCTGCAGGAAGGCCACAGATCTTGACTTTAGACGTTAATCACTCTCTTCCTAAACCTTTTCGAGCACATTTAGGAATACAGTCTAGAAGAAATTACTCTGAGAAGGGTGCACATTTGGCTGAAAGCTATGTTGAGAATGCGATTATCAGTGTACAGGAAGTGTTTACCAAATATTGCCTTTGAGGGGGTCAATGTTTCATCAGTGGCCTGGACAACGGTGCAGGGAACATTTTTGTGACATGTGAAAACAGCAGCAGAGTAAGGCGAGGCAGCAGGCATCTCTGAAAATAAGATTAGTATGGAAAAGATTTCCACCTGTTGGAGACATGCTCTCAAATACAGAAGAGTTCAGAAAGTAGTGCAAATTCCTGCACTTAAATCAGTATTAACAACTCTCTAAATATAACAGGGGGAAATCCAACAGCACTAGGTCAAAATAGGTTTAAACTGCAATTAGGGAGATGCAGGCTAAAGATTAGGAAAATAATTGTAATAATAAGGTGTTTTCTTAGAAGAGATTGGGGAAATAAGAGTGAGAACACTGTAAGACACTTATTTAGGATTTGGGATAAAAAAGTAAGATCACAAGGTCTCTTGTTTCTGTGAGTATAGGAGAACAGAATTGTCCTCTGCATCTTCTGTAAGAAAAGCTATAGAAAACCTTCTCTTCTAAGCTTAGAAAGGATTAAAACAGGCAGAAAGGCAGGTTCTCCTGAGTCTTTGAATGTGTGTGTAAGAACTCATATATTCGCATAAATTTGTGTGCAAGCATGTACATACATACATATATGTGCATGTATATCGCCGTACACTCACTTAGGTGAATGTAGTGCCATCTACTATCTGAATTTCACTTTTAAAAATAATAAACAGGAGCTGACTTCCCTTGAGCCACATTAGAACATGCAGAGTAGCTGCTATTAGTGCAGCTATTCTTGCCCACAGTTTTCCCCCAAATTTCTGCAGGTGTGAAGGGGTACAGAAGGGAAAGGGAGGAAGCCTTTCTTGAAAGGACAGTTGCCAGGGCTCTCGTCTTATTTCCACCTTGGATATCACTGAATTAACAAAAATGACAAGACTGTACAACTAACTCGTAGAGAGAAAATAGATCTTTGTATAATATAGGAAGAGCTAGTGATCTGACAGAGATTTGTTCCATGCGTGTGATATTGCTCAGCAAACATGCTTGATGAGACTTGCACAAAATAGCCAAACAATGGAACCAGAATATGATACAAAACAAACACCCAAGCAATGCAGACTATATCTAAACCTGGTGAATGAAGGAGACAATTATCCCTAGCATTCAGACCAAATGGTTTTCATTTACACTTGGCAGATTCTTTTCTCCATTTTGGAATCTCTAGGCAAAGTTTTCCTCAGTATTGCATTCCCACTCTATAGTTTCAGTGCTCTGGGTGGCTGCCCAATGAAAAACTAATCAACTATGTGCATTTCACTTAATCATACCAATACATCACCTCTGCTCATGACCACACACCCCAAAGAGTGGCAGCACAGAAGAAATCTGAGAACATACTGAAGTTAGATGTGAAGACACGAAGGAAGTTAGGTAATTTTATTACAAGAACAAAGTTAGTTAATTAAATCCTTTTAAAAGTTTATGAGATGGCCTGAAGAAGCCAGGAAAGAAAGTTTTCCCTTAATGGAGCATTGCAGAAGCCAGCCATATTATTTGCAGGAAAGAGGGAATAGAAATTTCCCCCAAAAAAGATCTATTTGCTTCTAGCAATGAAGAAAATACTATTAAAAATCCCGGGTATATGTTTTTTTGAAGAGTCCCCGCTCACTGCAACTGTGATATGCCCTCTGTTGTTGCTTCAGTGAAGATATAAGCTCTGGGAGAGGAAAAGTAAAACTTCAGCTTATACATAGTCATTAGAAACTGGAGCTTTTATCAACTGAAAGTTTCTGAAGACGACTGAAAGTCTTTGAGGCTTTCCTAATTGGTAGTAGTCACTGGGCTGCACATGTGCCTCCCTCAGGGTATAGATGAATATGTTCCATTCCCTCAGAGCCCCCCAGGCTCACTGGGCTGCACATGTGCAATGTAAATGAACATGCTCCAGCCCAAGGCTGCTGCTGGTGAAGCCAGAATTTTGCTGTAATGGCTGGAACTGTGACCAAGTACCTGTCTCTCTTCTACTCTCAGTAAATCCCCCTGCTAGCAGTATACAGCAGGAAAACATCTAATTCTCATGCAAAAGGGATAAGAGACATAAATGAACAGTAAAGTGGGGGCGGAGTGGGGCAAAAGAAAAAAAAAGCATAAAGGTATATCTAGGCGAGTATATTAAAAACAGAAGAACTGGGAAAATGTGGAAAAGCAAAAGATGGAGAAAATGAGACTCATGAGTTAGCAGAGTTTGAGGCTGGAGATGATGCTTGGCAAGGAAACTGAGACATGACAGAAACAGTTTAGATGAGAAAAAGGAATCAAGCTGGAAAGAGAATGAATAGAAAAGTTCGTGCCCACTAGAGAATAAGCTCCTCTAGAGTCTGAAGTGAAGCCCAACATCCAACATTTTTTGGCCATTACAAATGCCATTATCAAAATGTCTTATACTCATCTACAGATGATGATCATTCACAGAGGACAACTCACAACCATTTGTTCCATTAGCTAAAAGAGCAGGAAAAGGAGCAACTCATCTAAACCACTCTGATTAACCACTCTGTAGAGGACCATTGATCTCTTTTTCTAAACATCAAGAAATTACACATGCACACAAACAACAAAACTCATCGAGTGCTAAATTTGTCAACGTACTTCTCCTTTCTGGGAAAGGGAATTGGCTGGGTTATGATCAACTTCTGTAAGTCCCTTGTGCAAATGTATAGGCCACCTATTTTTTCTAGAAACATTTTTCTTGTCTTATTCAAGAATCAGGATGCATCAGATGTGAACTCACACACTACTATTCAGCATTTCTTATAGTACTTCCTGTGGTTCAACCATTGGCAGTATTTTTTTTCTGCAGTTTACTTCCTATGTTCACAGCAAGTGCAGAGGAGGAGGCACAGAATACTACAGAGAAATCCTTTTCCCTATCATAATCTTTATTAATTTTCCCCCAAAAAGACAGGAGTAGCTATATTTATACTACTAATTGAAATAGTCCAGGCATTGTTCTCTAGCTGAGAGCAGGGGACAAAACTGTCCATATTCTCATAGAAAACCGATCTTTCTCACTCCCAAAATGACACGTAAATTAAGCTGTATCTTAATTATCTATTAGAAACCAATCCTGGGCTGAGATCTCCCCCAGATTATGTCCATATGCTCAAGCCCATATACTTTCTATGCTTTATTTACTACCTTGGGGTAGCCAATAAGACTAAAATTTAATGAGAGAGGTTCATAGTATGTAACTAAAAAAAGACATTATTAGGTGGTATGCATAGGCCATATGCATACCAAGCACATTCATACATAGGCCATATGCATACCAAGCATATTCAAACAAATATGCTTGACTTTGCAACTTCAGTAATGGGCTTCTAGTATCATTTCTCTGTGTGTGTGCAACTCATACAGGGATGCCAAATCCTGTATAATGAGCTGGCTGACATATCCAGAAAGAGAGAAAAATATCTGATGAAACAAACAAAAGAAACAACTATTGAATGTGAAATCTAAGCTCCTCTATTAGATAATTTCCAGGTTTTACACCTTAGCATTGAATAAAATGCATACATTATGCACAGGTATCACTAATTCCTGAAATAATGTGTGCCTCATGGCATATCATTCTGCAGACAGGCAACTGGCAGGTAGTTTTTACAATAGCAAGAAGGATTCACAGTATGGGATGTGTTGATTGTTCGTGTCAGTCCCTTCACAATTTTAAAGCAGTAGTAATCAGAGCTATAAATCTCTCCTAAGTATAATTAAATTACTATTTATACCTACTGTTGTTAAAACCAGCCTGAGAAATTACTTTTAGGGTTCCATTACTTGAGAAATAATCTCTTTAAAACAATAATCACCAAGCTAAATATAATTCATATATCTACTTTCAAGAATAAGAATGCATAATGCAGGTGTTTAATTCTACAGAGTGTTTTCTTATGAAAAAATTTGATAAAAGCATTTTCAGACTTCAAAGTGTTTTTCATGTTATATTGCAGGTCTGGGAGGATCTTCTCATGTTGCAGTGTCCTGGGATGAAGGATGATATAAAGTGGCATTTCTCCAAAGAAGGCATCCATTTGAGGAACACAAGTTTTGTATCAGACAAATGCAGGTTATGACTACTGTAGGGACCTGCCGGGAGTACAATGATTAAGAGGAAATTATAATCTACTGAATAAAACTACAGTTATCTCCACAGATTTTTATCTTTTAGGAACATATTAGGAATTCCAAATGATGGTAAATTTATGTAATCTCCAGTAGTTCACTCTTGCTGATTTACATTTTATTTCCCATGAGAACTTTTTTGACTTTTTTTTTTTTTACAACA